GACTTTGTTCTCTTACAGGAGGAAGATTAGATAGAGCTTAGTCCGTGAGCAAAGCCCGGCGCAGCTCATTTGTTTGTTTAAATTTGCTCATCGAGATATAAACTACCAGCACAGTCCCATCATCCCTTTACTGTCGCCTCCATCTGTGAATCTAGCTGCTTCCATGTGGTTGAAAGTAAACAGTTGGAGAGAAACTGAGTAGATGAAAAATGAGCTGGAACTTTATTTTGGTCTTGTGCTGTTTTGAACTATTTCTGGTTACATCTGTTTTGTTTATCTTCTGCTTTTGCTCCTTCTGTATTTATATCTTACATACTGGAAAACCGGCGTGCACATCTGTGTGACTTTATGTCACTTAAAATAGAAAAGGGATTTTAATCGGCACCTACTCCCCTCCTCCTCAGCTAAGCAAAAGGTTACACCTTCTTTGCTATAATGACACAGGTTTAGATAATCATAAATGTCAAAAGATTTAATTGAAACTTTGATGAAATCCTTGTTCCTTTTGTGCTAGCACATGGTGACGAGGTAAAGGAATAATCCCTACTTAACTGGAAGATGAACAGCTGTCTGGGACTCCACTTTAGTCTGAGAGCTAATTACTCTCGTATAAAAGTAAAGGAAACTATATTCTTTAAAATATATGGAGCTTGATATTTTCAGGGGTTTGCATCAATGACAAGGACTTTTAATTATTGTCTAAATTTATCACGGTTTCAATTAAGGCACTAAAATTGGAGAAATTTTGATTTTTCCTTTAAATTACAAACTTTGCTGCTTGTTTATTGATATTTGAAATGCTTTCATTGAGCATTTTGTTCACTACTCCAACCTACACATTTGTGTTTTCTGCTTCACTGTTTCTTGTATTGCCATGTACAGTAACTTCCTATAGGTCTAAACATGTGAAAATGAAAGAGAAACTGGTTCTGCTGGTGAGTTTCTTCTGTCTCATCATCTTCTGTGTATATTTTTCTTACATTTTAAGGATCAGCAGACCAACTAAGAATTAAATGTTAATGCTCTGAATACCCATTAATCTAAAAGGAAGTCGTGGCTTAACTTTCAGTTTCAGTCCGGTATCCAGCATCCTGAGGTGAGTAAACAGGCTGCATCACACAGTGTCACACAAGGAGATTCAAGTCTCAATTGTATCCATTTGTGCGATTTGCAGGGTGTGTGAGTGCACTGGCACTCGTGTGGATACATTTTTCAAAATGATGAACAACATCTATGGCTGACTAGTTGCATGGTGTTAAATGCAAAGGAGACATTGATAAATTGGTGAAGTGATGCTGTTCTGGTGCAAAAACTGACCAAAAAGCTTCCTCAGGTATGAATACATGCACATCTATAATCATTTGTATGATTTTTAATTAATATTATTTTAACATAATTTAGCTCAAGGTGTAATAAAACAAAAAAACAACATAAAATATGAGTGCTTTATTCTGCTGCATTTGTTTTAACCTCCATTATAACTGGAATACTGCTCCAAACTGCAAGTTTCCGGGTGAGTATTTTTATCTATAATGTGATCGACTGTATCAAATGCAGCTCTGACATCTAAACGAGTAATTATAGACACTACTCTATTATCTAAGGTCATATGAATGTTATTTGTAACATTCACCATGCTGTTTCTGTGTTATCACGAGCATGATTTCTTTTGTTTAATTTTCAAAGTACAGCTCTTTTTATAGAAACCTCTGGTTGCTTGGCAATTCTGCCTGGTGTGTTCCTGAAATAAACACATAGTGCAAAAGAGACATTTTGTAATAAATTCTCTATATAGGCTGTGAGACGAATCAATGCATTTATAAAATGAAAAGACATTTTCATTTTATATTTTTAATGAAGCTTATTTATGAGGACAGATATTTTCTCTGCTTCTTTTTCACTATGTTGTAAAATTATAATTGGCAATAAAAGTGAATGCATAGTTAAATTTTTAATTAAACGTAAGTTTTAATTTTACAATACTGAGTTAATGGCCTATTACAGATGTAAATGTCACCATTTTTAGGATGCAACATTATGTGTATCTTTACCTTTTAGGTTCAGCAGAAAAACATTTTTTTCTTTAAGTGATGCTCATGTTTTCTTATTCTTATTTTGTTTCGCAACAGTCATCATGTCCTCCCATCCCAAAGCCCTGACCTGACCACCTGGTCAGTTTGGTCTGTAATAAAAGTGCAAAGATGAATACAATATCATGGATCACAAAACTTAAAAAACAGCTTCTCTTTATTCTTCCATCAAACACACTCAAGTGATTTTTTATTTTATTTTATTTATTTATTTTTGGCACATGTAACAGGTATCTCAGGTATCTCAAGCAATGGCTCGGAGGCCTTGTTACTGCAGATACTTGTGACACAGAAACACAGAGGATTGTTCTGTTGTGCTGAAAATGATGTCTCCATTACATAACCAGGCCTTTTTTGCTGTGCATATCGTGCATTTAGGAAGCAGAAGATGTTCCTCGTATCCCTTTCGCTTTTCATCTGATAACTTGAGCAGCTGTAAGGAAAGACAAAACTACAGCAGTCTAACTTTACACCAGCTTTTTGTTTTCTTACATTTCTGCATTGCATTACTATTAGCACAAAACTTGCTTATTTCTCTATAATACACATCTGAACCTAGATAATCGCTTAAAAAGACAACAATTCAAACATGCAGACGTTCTTGGTGTGACATTTTCCAACTTGAGAATGATCCTAATCATTTCCCCGTATTTATTACAAAGTAGCCAAAACACATCAAAGTCAATGTTTTGGAGTGGACGACACAAAGCCATGATTTCAGTCCCATTTTAAAAGATGTGTGGGTGGAAGTGAAGCAGCATGTCAAAGCAAGGTGGCGCACATATCTGACTGAACTACATCAGTTCTGCAAACAGGGATTTGGTCTCCTTTTATACATGTTTTAAAACTCTTCATAAATCAATAAAGAAAATTTTATGAATGGGTCAAAATTACAACAAATTGGTGAGCTCTCAAAGTTTGGCCAAACTTAACAGCTGTTCCTACCAAAGGACATGTTTGTATTAATATTGTTTTTTAAAAATGGCAAAGCTTCTTGCATTTTATCAATGTGAGTTTGGTGATCCTAATATACCTAAAAAGGGAAAAGTTTAGTCTGGTTTAATGTGTTACAATGATATAAAGTCAGAAAAGATATTTATCTCTTTAGGCTGTGTACAGTGTATCTGGTTTCAACTGTACATTTTTTGTGACACCACTGATGGGAAAAAAAAGAATAAAAAACTGGTTTATTTGCATGATGGAGTGTCTTTTGTGCATGAATAAAACTTTGTGGTGTGTGTATGTGTGTGTGTACTGTTTGCAAGCGGGTGCTAATTGATGCATTTTCTTCTTTTGTCTAAATGGAAAGCCCTTCTTATTAAACTGTCAATCACAAACCTGCGTCCCCGTGAACGAGGAGCGGGAAGCTGAAAGAAAAATGCTCACATGTCATCATAATGCAGCGTGAAAGGAGAGGAAAGAGGCTGTAAAAGGAGAGGAGCATGAGAGAGAGGGCACGGGAGGCACGGAGGGGCAGACCATTACGACAATTAGACCACCTTTTAAACAGCTTTCCATCAGAGCCGCTTGATATTTGAATGAAGCGACGAGTCTCTGCAGGAGGCTGTTGGGGAAATCAGCCCAACAATACATAAAACTGGCACTCACTTTTCATCACCTGCAGAGGACTTGTTGTTTCTCCCGGTCCCAGTTCAGTCGTTTCATTTTTAATTAATTCATTTCGTTCAAATCAGTTCAATTATGTTAAACATATTTTAGTTTACCTCAGCGAAGTGTGCTGATGGGAAATATTTTACACAGTAAATACTGTTGCCAAGCATCAAGATAAAAAAAAAAAAAAAAATCAAATTGAAAAAAAAAAAAAAAAAAATCAAATTGAATTAATTTGCTTTCATTGCGTTTTCTCCACAGGAGCTGTAGAATGATTATCACTTTAGCTGGTTTGTAATCCTACAATAAAAATGTTTTGTGTAATGATAAATTGCTACTGTAGCAGCTTCGCTTCTGTCACAAAATTATGTTCTGCTGCTGGCGCACGTTTTACGTATGTTATTATTTAAACAGTGACCTCAAAACAATCACAATCCTAATTTAAAATGAAATAGTTTATCTGTTTACAATACAGAGTCTGAAAATGTATTTCCTGGATTGGGGAAGGTTGTGTTTTGCATAATCTCACATTGGAAATCTTTAGAAATATGTAAATTTTAATTCGAGTGAATTTAGTCAGGGAATTGAAAATATATATTCTGTAGAAAAGAAAGGCTAAAGTTTTGGAGGAAAATCATTATTGTTTCCTGGTGAAAAGCAAAAGATGACCAGTTTCTTAGTCTTCTGTTGCCAGACCAGGCTCCTACATTCTCTACAGCTCAACTCAAATTTTAATTTACAGCCATTTTCATACAGCCAAGAGTTACACAAAGTGCTCAAGGTTTTATACTTTATTCTTACTGTACTCACCTGGAGTGCCAAAAAAGTGACCAAAAGTACACTTTTCCAGATAAAGTGCATTCTTTATGGCTGCACAGGAAAAGCTTTTTGCTGAGTCAGGCAGTGACATAAACTTTGGTCCTTCTCCAGTCTTGTTTGTCACAGTTCCAGCAGTTTAAAGATTTTAGGCATTGCTGTAGCTGCATAAAAATGGCAAGTTTATTTTTTATTTTTTGACTCGGCTTGTGATGATCGGGTTAAGTTTTTTGACCCACATGGAGAAAATCACTCAGAGACTCTAGTCAGGATTTTGTATTTATTAAAATGATGATCTGTTTTCTGGCAGGATCAATTTGTGGAGACGGCGGCGCAGTAGGAGGTGAACTTTCAGTCCAGAGGAAAGGGTGCAGTTGATCCAAGGACTGAAGAAGAAGAGCTGCGGGGAATGACCTGGAGCTCAGAATTTACCAGAAATATGGACTTTTAATTGTGGAGAACTCTGAACTTAAGACCTTTGAGTATTTTCTAACTTGAGGACCCAGAGGATGGTTAGGTAAGAAGTTCCTCTGGATTAATCTAGAAAACCGGAGAAAGATTTCTCAGGTGGTATGAGGATTCTGAGGGTTTTATCTTCAATTCTACCAGTAAGATCAAACCATAAACTTTCTGGCTTGGGAATGGTCTGGGATCACCAATCATGGAAAACCCTTTTGGACATTAATCATACTTTCCATCATCACTTGATGTCTAATACATAACATAAGTCAAGTAGGTTTGTTTGCATAGCAAATCTCAGCAACAAAGCAGTTCAGACTTCACAGTAACCAATGAGTAAATATCAATGAGCATTACATTTAGTCAAATGTCATGATTTTGATGACATATATAGTAATGTATATATTAATACACATTGATATATATTAATGTGTATTATTATACATTAAATATATCAATCAATCAATCAATCAATCAATCAATCAATCAAATTTTATTTGTATAGCACATTTCAGCATCAAGGCATTTCAAGGTGCTTTACATAATTAAAAACAAAATAAAAACAGCATGTGACATTGGATAAACAGTAAGAAAGAGAAAGAGATTTTGGAAAAAGAAAAAAAAGGACAAATATTTTTAAAAAAAGATAAAAACATACTTTTGTTATGGAATTTAAACGCCTGTCGTCGCCAGACTCCGCCGTCCGTTTAACACGGGTATTATCCAACCTTGCAGCACCAGGCTCCGTCCACCTATCACATGGATTTTTGTGCACTATAACACGGGTATAGTGCACAAAATGATTAATTATGATTGAATCAATATTCCAATCATAATTAATCAAAGGCTATGCTAAGCAGGTGGATTTTTAGCCTTGGTTTAAAGGTACTCTGTGTTTTGGCTTTTTTGCAGTTTTCTGGAAGTTTGTTCCAGATTACTGGAGAATATAAACTGAATGCTGCTCCTCCATAAGTACCACCACATGCTTATTTAGCACCTTTAATAAACATTTCATAAAGGCAACAAGTTGATATACAACAAAATGTTTGGAACTGAAGAACTGATTCCAGGATGTCTTTGTCTTAGTTTTGTTTAATTTGCCTTCTCTTTGGTTATTTTCAAGCATCAGTAATTTACTTGGCTTGTGTGGCACAAAGGTAAGTGTTTTGTACAATCAAGCCTTTAAAATTAAAACGTCCATCAGTGGGCTTGTTTTATTGAAGAAATGTCAAAATTATACCCGTTTTTCTGCCGAGAGTGCTGTGATTCTACACATCCATAGTTCCTGGCCACATAAAAGGAACATTTTCACTGAGCGCCACCTTGAATTGCTGACAGATTTATGGAAACAGGTGTATGACTGAAAGGGACCATTAACTCCACTCTTCTTGATGACAACCAGTAAGGCTGGCTGTGGAGTATACCTTCTTATAAAACCACACATGTCAAACTCACTCATGATAAATATGCTGGAAGGCAAACTCTCAACCTTTAAAGTTTTATTTAAGCATATGCTCAGACACTTAAGCACAATTTTCTTTGCATACATTTGACAAGACTCCAAGCTGTTTTCTAAAGCCTCCCAAATAAAAGGGCTGAACAGGCAAAGTGTTGAAAAGTGATGCAAGACAAATCCTGGAAGATTAAACCTCTTGTTTTATGGGAAAATATTTTTAGAGCAATATAAAAAAAGATTGAAAAACCATGGATGGATAGTCTTGAGAAAGTTCTCATTTCTAATACTTTGAAAGGCATACGCTATATGTGCTGATATGTAGACATGTAGATATTGAGCCAGACCCAACGACTGACTAAAGCTACGTGACTTTTCTTGCTATTGTCTGACTCATAAGTCAGGATAAAGTGCAGTACCAACAATCAAATGGCCAAATACAATGCCCTGACAAAAAAAAAAAAAGTTGAATAATTAGAAAAAAAAAATAACCCGAGTACCCAGGAAGAAGGCATGAACATGCAAACTCCATGCAGAAACTCAGGCGGGGTTTTGAATCGAGGACCAAAATGCAGCCCCCCAAAATAAATCCTGCTTTAATAATTCTTGTAGCGACCAAAAGTTTTAGAGATATTTCATAAAAACGAGGATGCTGAGATTTTTGCAGCAACTTTGTATTTATTGCCTTAAAAATAAACTACTCCATCCTATCATGACAGATGCAAACCGGTTGAGTTTAATGCAACTGTGCTTTGGATACTTTCATGTGAGAGTAATGGCCCTTCTCCAATGGCATCTGCTAAGTGAGGCTCGACTTGGTTATAAAGGTTTTCCAGTCTTCTGACTTTGCATTTTCAGCAATGTCAGCAGACTTTTGGTCATTGATTAGTGAAGGACTCGAGTTGCTGGTTGTGTCATGAGAGGCTCTGTTGTGAGAAGGAGACCTGCCATTTGTAAAAATCCACACCAGTCACTGAGCATATTTAGAGTTTGTCTTGTGTTTGTGTGGTGTACAGATCTTGTTGCGTTAATTTTCAAACTCAGCAACTTTATCCAGGTGGATTAGGTTGGAAATAAAGGAAAAGGATCAAGAATGGGTGCTTTGGATGTTTTTCTTCTCCAAAAGTTTTAGGAACCTGGTTTGACAGCATGACGTTATGAACCTTTAGAAAAACAAAAGGGTTTTCATTGAGTCTAAGATAATGGTTCAGAACACACAATAGGAGAAGATCAGATGGGGTCCCGTTACACTGTATGGACAACTATGCTGTGTAAATAAATATGTCACCATTGGTTTTTTTGAGCAAGATTTATTTCCTAACATAAATTTTCTTCCATTAAATCAATGAACTCAAGTTGGAGATGGATTTTGAGGAAACATTTTAGTTTGACATTACTTGATTTGAATGCGTTTGTACGTACCAAGTGTTTCAGTAACGGTGAACTGCTGCAGTTAAGTGCAGTTTGGCCAAAGGATTCTTGCTGTATGTTCCACTTACTTTTCCTTGATAAATAAAAACATATCCTCAGTCTGACTCGCATCAGTTCGACTTAGCGAGAACATATGATTTGCAGAGCAAATGTAAGAGTTCCCGGGGATAGTTGATAGTTGTGCTTGATGGTTTGGTGGTATGCCTGATGGTTTCCCTGATTCTCTGTGTCTGTGTTTTAATAGTCACAAGTCATTAGGCTTGATGGAGTAGACAAGCGGGAGTGGGGGTTCACAGTGAGAGGTAAACTGTAACTTAAAGTGTCTGCATTTAACTGTTGTTTAACCCTAAAAAACACACACTATGTCCGCTTGTGCGTGAAGCATGTTTTTGTATCTGGTTTACGATCCTTTAATCCGCTCATAATGGTTTTCCTCTTTTGTTGCTGAAACACAAAAACTGATTCGTTGTTCAAAGGAAACTTTCTCTTAACAGACGAGACTGCACTGACCACCTGGTTTTCACTGACTGACTATATGGTCGTCTCAATGACTAGTTAACTAAGCAGCTGAAGGACTGTTGACAACTAAACAGCCCCTGCAGAAGCAATTCAGTGCTGACCATTTGTCTGTTTTATGACAGCCTCATAAACCCCTCTGGAGTGAGAGAAGAACCCTAAAAACGAAGGGTTGTAAAGATGCTGTAGAAGCTGCATGTGTGTAAGGAAGGGATGGACTGAATCTGTTGTATTTCATCTTATGTGTTGTTCTGCATTCATAAGCATCAGAAAAAGTCAAATGGAAAGATAGGACAACAGAAAATACACATTTAAATGATTCTACATGAACTTCACTTCCACATCTTCATGCTGGTTTCTTATTAGTGGTCCTGCTAAATCTGAGTTTTTTTTTATTTTTTATGTTGTCCAGAGGAGAATTTCAAGGTGTTCTCTGAACAGAAGGTATAGTTCTTATAGAAGACACAAAAACGTACACAGAGCCCAACAAAGAACATGTTTGGCATAAATGAAATATAATATTTCAGGGAAAAAAGCCTTGTATTAATGGAGAAGCTTGGAGCGTGAAGTGTTTGGGGATACTTTGCTGCAGGCGGCTAATCATTACATAATCCACCATGAATGCTTCCATGTTTCGGTGGTGCTTGAGGAAAATGTGAATTTAAACTAAAGCAGAACTGGGCCCTGCATCACAACAACAACCCAAAATGTGCCAGTAAATCTGCTAAAGGCTTCAGAAATGGAAACTCAAAGCCCAAATGTTGGTCTTATTGAGATGTTGAGGACATTGTTGAATCCTGTGTACTTGGAATTAAAAGCAACCCTTAAAATCACGGCTGACAGAAGAGACTTTTTTTTCTTTTTTATAATACCAAATTTTGTTTGCTCTTATTTAATGAGATAACATAAAATATTATTTAATGAGTGATACAATGCTGTGTTATTTTTGTATGTATATAATTATACATTAAATTTTGCCTAAAAGCTATTCTTCCCCAGAGATAAATACAACATGCGATCATTTCCTTTAAAAGAACGTTATACTTCGTGGGTTGTCTTAATTTTTTCAAACAGTTGTGTCTTAGCTTAGTAGGAGAAAAGTCTATTGCTACATGTAAATATGATCTAATCTATTGAAATCACTCAACAGTTTTTTCCTCTTTATTTCAATCAGAAAGCAACACTAGAGTGATTTTCTGGGATTCATTTCTATTTTACAGCTGTTTTTTTCTTTTAGCAAACAAACAAACTGGAGTATAATTTTTAGCTTGTTTTCTTATTGTCCTCACCTGAATGTAGCTATGCACATTACAGATCAAGCTGGGTGCATATCTCAGAAACAAGGACAGAGTTTGTAAGAGACATTTAAAAAGGGGGAGAAAAAAGCTAGTTATGTATCTAAAATGTATCTACAAAGTTTAGCATCTATCATCTATGTTCAACAACATATAAATCTTTAAGATATATTTATTTTTTAGTTTGAACAAATGTCTGCTAAAGTATGTATAAGTATCACTGTTTTTCTGCTGTAAATACAAACATTAAATAAACATCTGGAAATATTTGCTATGCTTGCTTCATTTCTTGCAGACTGATGTCTGTAAACCTTGGACTGTACATCTAAGTTTAAAGTGACAA